TGAAAGCATAATAAATGATTTCAGTGATTTAAAAGCACAGGTGCTCTCAAAACATTGTATTTTATTTAAGGTCCAATCAATATTCTTCTTAAATTCTTAGATTAGTTTGCCTAGTATGTGATCATAAGCCATATTGTTAAAGCTAGGCCAACTGTTATAGTGCCAAGCAGCTATTAGCTGTTTTGATCTACATTTTGTTAAAAGTGCAAATCCTCTTATTAATAATGGGAACCTGGTTAATAAAAAAAAAAAGCATAATAATAATAATAATAATAAGTGAATAACAAAGTAAAAATGAGCAAACTAATAAATAACTATTTAACAAATATATAAATAAATAGCAGTTGCCTCCCTGTAGTCAGTGGGTTAAGTTAAGAGATGGCACCATGCTACCTGTACTGGGCATTCACAAATGTTTTGTGACAGGACTCCATAATTGGAAGGAGAAGAACCTGTGTTTAAAACTCCTCTTGCATGTAACCATAACCAGAAATGGAGTGATAATTGAGTCAGCCAGATAGCCAGTTACTTCGGAATTTTAAAGTTTAAATTTCTGTTTTCAATGAACTAATTAGATATGAGAAGAACATATGAAAAAATCAACCTCTTTTGAGGCATTATTCATCTGTGAAGTTAGGCCTATCCCTAGTTACATAGAGCTTTTAGATGCTGTATTTGGAGAAATCAAATGCTTCTGTTATCATTAAGTTGACTGGACTTTGCTTTCTTCTTTTTACCAAATATTCCAAAAATAATTTTCCCACCAACAGAAACTATATACAACTCTATCTTATCTCTATAATCTCTCAACTATCTGTGTTGAATTTAGTACCCAAGAAACCCCATCAAACCTATGGACTAATTCAAAAAATAATTAACAGTGATGGGCAAGTTATAATAGTGTAATATAGTCTGAAATATACAACAGAAGATGCCATGTGTTAATAAACTGAAAAAAAACAATTCTTTAGAATTCCTAATGTTACATCAAATGACAGTTAATAACACATACAAATTAAATACAAACCAAACTATATTATTTTCATGAGATATCAAACATACTGAAAGGCTAATTTAATAAAGCAAATTACAGACAACATCTTTTGGAGTTCAAAATCTAAAAATTATAAATAAATCTGAGCTTGGTTTTAACTTTTACCTATAATAAAGCATTAGAATTCTGATTTGAATGAGTTTGGTAAAAGGGTGAAACAAAAAGTCTCTTGTTATAGTGGTACAAACCCCAATAACTTTTAAAAGCTAAGTTCATAATGAATAGTTTCAGGTAATATCACTCACAAAAACAAGAAAAAATACCTTTTGTTTCTGTTGATTAAAAATGTTAGTAGGCAGATAGTATCTGCTAATCAAAATTGATTCTGTACTAAAAAACATTTGTATTATGCCCTGTACTATCATTAAAGGGAATAAATTAGACTTTTAGAGAGAAAAATCACTTTTAAAACTATGGTAATAATTTATTAACTTGGCAACATTTTGAGCAAACACTCTCTTTCAAGCCACAAACAAGACTTAATAGTCTCGAAACGTCACCAAGTTAATAAATTATTACCATGGTTTTTAAAGGTGCTTTTTTTCTCTAAAAGTCTAATTCATTTTATTTTATCACCTTCACATTTTTCTACTTATTTCATGCAAAAAAATTAGACAAAAAAAAAGCTTCATTTTCAACACATCTGGTAACATTGTATTTAAGCAGCAAACCATTTAAAAATAATTCAGTACTTTCTGCTAAAAAGAGGAGGAAAAGGTTTATAAAATAATCTATGGGGAAAAACGTATTTTTATCTCAAATTAATCCTACCTAAAGAGAGTTTATGCAAACTAGACGTCAGACTGTTAAGTTCTACATCTTGTCTTCGATAAAATAGGATGTAAGCATTCCACCATCGTTTCTGCCTTCTGTAAGACATCCGTTTCAACATGTGGTCGAACACTTCTCCCATATATTCTCCTCCAAAACATTGATTTTTCATTTCCTTCATGTAATGAAACAAAATGTTACTAGACAAAGCAAAGAAGATAAAAAACCTTCAAGATGTCTTCCTATGATTGATATAAATTAAAATAAACACTAAAAAATACAGAAAACTATGAAGTACATTTCATCTTACTGAAGCAGAAACTTAACATACATCAGCTCATATAGAAATAGCTTATAAAAATGGCATAACAGTACAACATGCAAAAATAAAATAATTTGGAAGTATGCATAATTCTATAGTATTCAATGATCAAAGGACAGTTTACACAACTTATAATAAACTGTATTATAGTTATAAATTCTTTAGTTATGTATTTACTCTGAAACTTGAAAAGAAAGATCTAATTTTCAAAACAAAAGATAATATTATTTGGTCTATCTGTAAACAGTAAAATGCCGAAGAACCATAAAAAGTACTAATGAGCAATATTTAAACTATACTCACCAGACTTCCATATTTTCACAGTGAAAATACTTAAACAAAAATACTCTCTAGTGTCTTAGAATTTCTATATGTTTTTCATTATTGATCACAAATTTCATTGTGTATATATATATACAATGCGTTTTAACTTTTTAGTATTCATCAATACGTTTCTTTTAACTTTTCATATTGTTGACTGAACCTGTTGCCTTCCTGCTGTGAATCATACACAAATTGTATGATTTACAAAGATTTACCAGCAAGCAGTAATCTCATTTTTCAAAATGGCAGTGCAACTATCTGTCAGGAGTCATAGTGATATTTTCCAACAATACTGTTGGTCAAGATCAATCTTTATCTAATGATTATAGTTTGTTTCAGTAAATAAGAATGTATTGTATTTGTGTGCAATGTTTGAATAGAACAAACTCAACAATACGTTCAATTAAAAAAAAAGTTTGTACCAATCGAATAATTTGCCATCGTAAGTCTTAACTTGCCATATTTGATAAACTTGAAAATCTTTACCTGATGTCTTATGTACAAGCATATTCCTGTAGCTTTCAAATGGATTTAACTATTAAAAAAAAAAATCCTAAGCCTCTAATTAGTTGAAGAGTATTTCAAAACTCTGTTTTGAGGTTAATTTGTTTATTGTGATTGACCAAGATCATTATTTTCTAAAACACAACTTATTTAAATTACAGTGTTAAAGTTCCAAACCTCCCCCTTTTTTATGATTATCTGCTTTGTCTGTATCCAGGTCAAAGCAGAGACCACTCAAATTTTTCAAGACTCCTTTGAATGGTACTATAAGTGCAAATTCAACCAACATTTTCACAGCTGAACAAAGAGAAAGTATAGAATCATAAATGTTTAGCTAACCAAAAATGTTGATATTTGAATCAGAAAAAATATAATATTTGGAGCCAGCAAAAAAAAAAAAAATGTAAATGACATGTTTACAATTCAGACACTTATAGAGAAAACAGAAACATCTGTTTTTAGCTTTTGTTTATGAAATTTACTACATAAGCATTGTATAATGTTAAAATATCAATTTTGCAATATTTTTAAGTAGAAGATCAGTGGAAATGGATTAGAATTATATTTTTTAAAGCTTAAAAGCTGAGTTATCAGTGTGAATTCAGAGTTTGAAAAAGTTAATAACACCAACAAGTTTTTTAATTACACTAGATTCTATGTGACATGTATTAAAAATAAATTTTTTTACCTTGAAAACCTGGATGTGTAAAAAATTCTTACCTCATCATCTTCCATCTTACATTCAGTGACTTCCCCATCATCAAACTTGTACCATCGATGTGTTCCATCACTATGTCTAAAAGTTATAAAATTAAAATTGAAACTTCCGTTAATCCTCCTCATTATATATAAATATTTATGTACAAAATCATATCAAAAATAATCCAAAAATATTATTTCTCATCATATACTTACTAAGACCAGATTTCAAACAGCTTCGAAGTATAATGAGAATTTTTTAACAATAATATTTCACTAGAAAGTACTTCAATTTCCCAATATTCAACATTTGACAACAGGATTAATATTGAACCTGGGTTAATTCAAATCTTTCCACAAATAAACTATTTCACACAAATGAGCAAGTTTTAATGTATGAGACAGAACCAGTTAATTGTAGAAGTTAAAAAAAATTAAATAGTTTCCTTAAAGGTCCTTCAATGCCAGCATAATACTACATTTTACTGCATAATGTTATTAAAGAAATGTGAAATACTAAAGCCAAGTACAATGTTACAGCAAAACTAATGCTAAAAACATTTTATGCAGCAATTCTGTCTGGGTTATCCCTTGCGTTTTATACATCACCACTGTTGCATTACTTCAAACAGTTCATGCTAAATGATTTGTGTCATAAGAGATTACACACAATAATATTTTCTCTTGGTAAACTTCTAAATATTAATACTACCACAGCTACATATTCTTCATTTTTCTGGATACTGATTCACATCAAACCCAAACAAATGTGTTTGTAGTTAAAGCATCATGGGTACTGAAACCAAATTTTTAGCATTATATGCCTGTAGACTTACCATTGAGCCACTGGATTTAGCATACCCAAATAAAACAGTTTGTTTGAAGAAATATTTGTCACTTATAGTTACTACCCTAGATCTTTTTCTATAACAAAAGGAAGACAATTCTTTTGCTTTACTTGTGATCACAAAACTCCATCACAATTATACATTAAACACTGAAAGATAAACATAAAACCTATTAATACTGGAGAATAAAACATGATTAAAGGGACAAAATTTCTTGTGAAGCATTGTAACCTGAAAGTATTCATATATCTGGATATAAACATGTTTTTATAACAGGGTAGGAAGTTGACAAGGTAGAGATAAAGAAGACAGTGTCCTGTTTGAACTGAACTTTAATTCAAGTGTTTTACAAATAATCTCATATATAAGTATCACACTGAATATTTTCTTAAAAAACACAAAATGGAGAAGATGACTAATATTCTGCAAACAAGCAAGAAAAAAAGAAAAGAGTCACGTTTCATTTGAAGTAAACCTCTTCCAATCTGGATCACTATTATAAAATTAGATGTTGTTGAAAAATTATATACGAGTTTCTATATCAATGAATGTGATAAAAAATCGTTTAAACTTTTTCAAAATAATAATTATGAATGCCTGGTGTTAACCATAAGTAAACTAACAATTCTTCAAAGAATCATTCACCAACACCAAAACTCACTAAAAGACGTACCTGTGTAAAATATAAGAGTAGTAATGACCCCCACTAGCTTGTCCACTGTGTACAACTATTCCATTCAGAATATATTTGGTACACTCATTTTCTCCTTCAATCACGTCTTCAACTATCTCACCTGAAACATCAGATTTATCTTTATGCTTGCCTATTATTGTCATTAAAACATTTCCTGACATTTTTAAGCACAAGATTAAAAACTGAAAAAGCTGTAAATAAAATTTTATTGGCAAATAGGGGTCTTCATTCTTATATGATCTGTCTACCCTATTGCCATATAATTATTGATAAGAAAAATACCAACAAATTCTTCTTAGAAAAATAAAAAAATCTTACCTTCCATTTTTTCAAGTCCCCTTACAGTGTATGGCTCCATGTCCAATTCTCGAGGAAATTCAAAATAATCATTAAATTTGATAGCACACTCTCGTTCCCAGTCATAGTCAAACCTTTTTAACTGAATGGCAAGCACAAGAGGCAATCTCTTTATGCACAATCTTTTAACTGTATCCACCTGTTACAAAAAAACAAAACAAATCATTTCTTGAATATTGAATGCCCCAACTAAACACACAGTAAAAGATAATGTTCAGCTCATCACCAAACTACACAGGAATATGTATAGGTTACAAATCAGAACAGTGGTTTCAAGTGAACAACATACTAATGATAAAATGGACCTTTTGTTTAATGAAATGAAAACTGATTTATGTTGATCATAGACTGGTATACAAGGAATGCATTATGAAAACTTCTGTTACACCTTTTAGACATGAAGACTTTGCTCTCTAAACATAGGATCTATGCCAATGTGGTCATCATTTTTACAGATCAATATCTATGACCAGAAGGTGCTCGAAAGAAAAATGCAAATTGAGTGTGTGTGTGTATACATACACACACATGTATATATATGAACGTAACAAGACAGTATATGTTGTCTTTACTTCAAAACATGCATATTTATGTCAATGGAGGCAAAAATATATAAGGTATGTGTTTAGTACTAAAATGTATGGAGGGAGCTACATAAGCTACCAGAGTCCCATTAACAGAGACACGGTACTGATAAAATATTAAATGAAATATGCATTAGACCTCCGCAGTAAGGACTTTACAAGTTATCTCACATACTACATAATGCAAAGAGACATTGGACTGAATCTGCTGGTCTGTGGGAAATAGTTCATTAGTGTTAGGTGGGTGTGCATTCAACAAAATGAGTATTTCTAAAATGCCAAAGTTTTCTGACAGATCTATTAAATATTCAAGTAGAGCATCTATGTACATCTTCACCACATTATGACACCTAATCCTTGGTGTTGACAAATCAGCATCATCATTACTAGCTCAAGCTTTCTTTAGCAGTACAGAGACCTCAGTGCAAGCTTTCAAGTCTGCTTGCCATATAAGAGATCCCATATCCCACTGACAAAAACTTCTCCATCACACTCTATAATGACATATAATAAAATTTTCACCTTGCTGGAGATGTTATTTTGACAATTCTTTAAGGATGTTTGCTGCTGATGCTTAGCAAACAGTTCTTTATCTTAGAAACTGACAAAAGTTTGTACTAATTTCAGAAGCGTGCCTCTAATCCTGTGAGCATCTGCTGATATGAAAGTTTGTGGGACTTATCAGCCACATCATGGTAAAAAAAGGCCTTGATTTCCTCTTTATGAGAACTAATATGTTTTGCACCATACTGAGTACCAAGTTTTGGATGCCTAGCCCATCCAAGTGCAAAGTGTTGCTTGTATATTCAAATTTTGAAATGACAATTACACTAGCCAAACCAACAAATGCATTGATGACTAAAATATCCATTTTACTGTGCTTGTACAAGCAATGTTAACAGTGCTCTAACTTGCTAGCCACACAACTGACTTTCAATTTATAAGTTGCTTTACATTCAGGAAAACATACCTTACTCCTAATTGCAAAAAAATATATAAAGTGCAATAAATCAGTTTTCAAATTTGGAAAAACAGTGTTGCCTTTTTTTCAAAAACTGGCTTTTAAATAAAATATTTCTTTTAACAAATATAAAAATAGAAATAATAGAAAGATAAACAAAGAATATTAAAACATTAACAAAACTTTATTATCAAAACAAGTTTTTTGTACACTATCAAATACACCTCGTTTATGAGATAAACAATAACTCAGCTTGACACACATAGAAATGTTTAAATGTTAAAATTAATAACAAAAATAACTATATGACAGACAATATTTTCAACAATATCTATTCACAATTTAAACCAGTCAGACGTTTATTAAGAACTTTGTGTCAAATCAATTTTAACATGTGTATCTATCCTAATAGTTACCAATTTTCAGTTTCAACTTAAGCTTCCTTTCTCACCTTTTTATTACATTTTTCACAATGATAAGCATTAGCTCCTTCCAAAAGATCCCCTTTCACATACTGTTCAAGGGAATCATGTAAGTTACTGTGGTTTCGGATGTCAATATTTAAAGTAGTGAAAGACTCTTCCCTTGAATATCTACAATACAAAAAAGGAAAAAAAAAGTGATAAGAATAATATCAATTAAAAATCTTAAATTCAAACCATTTCAGGCACTTAACCCTCAAATTATCAACTTGCAGGTCCTCCAATAGTATCTAGTGTTTTTAGCTTTTAAAATAAAGTTTAATTTGACAAATTATAGGTTGAAATTTACTGAAATACATGTCATTTTTTAGCAAAATACCTCTTGTAGAGGTGCTATGTTATAATCAAGATTAAGTCGTGTAGAACAAATTATTGAGGGTAACTTTTTAACCTTGTAACCGAGAATATTAATTTCAGAACTCACATCTTAAATTTAAAGCAAAAATATCTATAGATTTTTTTACAGGTTGAAGCATTAAAAAAAAAGGCTTTTATATGTTAGTACAGGCTCTTTGAGCATTTATATGTATTTTAAAGGATAAGCTTCTGAAAAACAAGTTTTAGAGGTCACAGGAAGGCCTGAAGCTGCTTTTATACCATTCACTACCAATAGGGTTCACATAATGCATCACATTTAGTAATTCTCTGATTGTGCCTGCTATAAAATTCAGTGTAAATAACTGACCAGAAAAATTTGTTAAAATCATTTAACTTCTATGTAATACTACTAGAGGCACGCATGGTATTTTTGCTTAAAGTTTGTGTGAATGTGTGATTCATAATTATTAGACAACCTGTAGCTAACAAAGTCATGTACCCACAAGCAACTTGGTGCATAAATAGTTTAGAGAAATATGGTGAAAAAGCTGATGAGGTCTGGATTCCATTGACAATTCTAGGGTTAAATCTCAAAATTCCATTGGCAATCCTAATTTTCATGCCTTTTTCTCCTAAGTCATTTTCTGTAAAGCTAATGCTACATAATATTCAGATAGATAAAGAAAGCCATGCCAGTGTCATGAGAATGAATTACACAGGCCTGTGATGGTTTTATTATCTCGAAATTTTTACAAGTTCTACAGTAAATCCTGTATGCTGAATCTGATATCCATTTTTCTCCATCATGTACAGATTTTTCATAAAATGTCATTACGCAATACATAAAAGAAGACCACAACACACAGTTTTGAGACTAAAAAATGTGGATTTCCCCCCAAAAAATCAGGATGAATGAGGATGCATATTCGTTTTAACATCAATGTTCTTTCCTTTTTTTCAGTTTGTTTGTATTTTTGTTAACAAACATAGTAATAAAAAATATTCATTGTAGTAAACAAAATAATAATTTGATCTAAGTAAGTTTTTTTCTTCCTGATTTGTAAAAAATCCTTATGTGATACAAAAAATTAATATTATTTTCGAAATCTGCGTAGCTGAATTATGGAAAATCCTTTATTAAAACCAAAACAACTTTTATGAAGTTTAAATTTGCAAGCCCATGTTATTTTCAAAAATAATATATGTTCCTACAAATTCATGCTTAAACACAGTGCTACTAGTATCAGAACATGAAAAAGTGAATCTTAAGTTAAAATAATCTAAGTTATAACAAGAGATTCTTTTTTAATCAATATATATACTTCAGTTTATCAAAAACAAATTCCCGATATTTAACCAACTTTAATTGTTACAAACGTCTCATTCTGAACCTAATTTTAAAATACTGCTGACCCCTTAAAACAATTTATTGAAACGGTCAAGCTATTCATAACTGTGCAATAAAGTTCAAAACTCATTTGCAATACTATAATTCAAGACACATTTCCAAGGCAAGAAGTAAAAAGAAAAGATTAAAAAATCACAGTGACAGAAAAGGGTAGGCATGGATTTTTACATTACTCTAATTCAGCTCTTTCCCATAACAGGAACTACATTGTAATTGGAGTAACTTTGTCACTGCAATAATTAGATTTTGTAACTTTTAAAGGTATTACTAATTTTAATGATAATGGGTTTTGTACTGGTTTAAAGTTCCTGAATATTAATCATAGCATATATATATATATATGAAATTATTTAGAAATTGCAATAGATAAAGCTTCCTAAGAGCTATCTAATATCTCACCTGTGTGGACAGTCCTTACAAATTTTTTGGTCAGCAAATGTTCCACCTAATATTTTGGATAAAATGCTATGTTGGCCCAAAGCCTTTAAGGACTCATCTAAACTATCTACAAGACTGTTAAAAAACTCTAAGGCATCATGCTGCTCTCGAAGATTGACAGGTTCACCCCAAAGCCTGATAAAAGAAAAAACAAAACAAACATTAATGCTAAACAGCAAATTATCTATACAATCTCCATATGAATTAATTTGTTGTTTTTTTCATTTTTATGCAAATCAAAACCAAAATATCACAAACCTGCTGAAATAGACGCGTTTGCAATTTTTTTTAAAACTAGAAACCAAAAGATACTTTTGAATATCTTTGGATTACTTATATAAAGCATATATATTATATATGGATGAATGCTATTGATTTCTCAGAAAAATATATACTGCTTGTTATGTCTGTTCCATATAAATGTGCTTAATATAAATTTTAGAAAATTTTAGATAAAAAGAGATAAGCTTAATTTCATTATATGAAGTTCTTCCCAAATATGAGTATATTTTGGATTTTACATTTTCATATAACTGTTCACAACAAGTGTGTACACAACTTACAGTTCTTGTTGTTAGGATTAATAACTTAAGAGAGATCTTTTACTGTAAACATCTTGAACACAACAGCTAGCCTGATGAGCCCCATTAATGGGCAAAAAGCCTCACTGGGACAGAATATAAAATATACAATGTGGTTAAAATATCATTACATTCTTCTTTACTTTCATTGATAAGTTCTTATAATAAACACACTTTCTACCACAGGACTCAATAACTAATAAAAGGTGAAAATTCTGTTGAAATATTTGTAACAGAAAAAGGTTAAATACTTCAAAATCTCCTTTGCTTTGCTCACTAGTTTACATTAAATGTAAAAATGAATATTATGTCAGAGTTTGAAAGAAGCATCTACTAGGTGTGATCAAGAGGTATTTGTCTGCGGACAGAAACAATTTTCACTAAGTAATAAATTACAATCCATTAAATGAACTGTTTGTATGAGAAATGTAAGGGTGACCAAGTATTTAACGATGAGTCATGTATATGTAAAACTAATTTTGTTACTTCATTTGACAATCTATAGAATATTTCTCTTAATAATTCACAGTGAGATGATTTTCAAACACTGACCTGACTTTTTTTTTAAACAGAGCAATCAATGATTAATTTCATTAATGATTAGTAAACAAAGGTAGCACGTATTCCCTATTGGAGATGGAAATATGTGAACAGAAAAACACATCTTAAAATGTAATTTTATTCACACCGTAAAAACAAGAAAAAGTAACTTAAACAAGGTGGAATACTAAATACTAGTATTCGTGCCACCAATAAATACAAAAGTTATACTCGGGCCTTAGGTAAGGAGCAAGATGTAATAATATATGTTAATAATCAAGCCATCAATCGAAACTAAAGTTATAATCGGATCTTGGACCAAGAAATCCATAGAAATTGTTTCCTAACAATATGTATGCCTTCTGAAAAGAAATGATGAATAGAAGATATTAAGTTTTTAACCAAAGCATAAAAAACTATTAATAACCAACAGCAGACAACAAGCACTCCTACTGACCTCTAACTAAATATTCGTTGCTGTGAATTATAAAATATCATTCTGAATTTATGCACAACTGTTTATTTTCATGTATCGAAATAAATGAGAAAAAAGAAGCTGAGTTAGTTGATTTACTTTAAAAAAAAATCTAATATCCTATGATTTGTTTGTTTGGAATTTTCTGCAAAGCTACACAGGCTATCTACACTAGCCATCCCTAATTTAGCAGTGAAATACTAGAGGGAAGGCAGCTAGTCATCACCACCCATCGTCAACTATTGGGCTAATTTTTTTACAAACAAATAGTGGGATTGACTGTAACATAATAACACCCCCATGGCTGAAAGGGCAAGTATGTTTGGTGGGACAGGGATTCAAACCCGCAACCCACAGATTGTGAGTCAAGTGACCCAGCCACCTGGCCATGCCAGGCAATATTATGATTTGAACACAGAAAAAGCAATGGAAGAAGGTTCCAAGCATACATGTAGAACAGCAAATTTTGCATTAAGGTGAACTTTAATATCACACTGTGGAAACAACGTCACACCTATTTAGCTACCAAAATGCTGAACAAGTTATGCAAATGATGGTCTGATTAGCTTTGTAAAATAAAACAAGACATTCAGCATAACTGACATGAAGATGCTGTGTGCTGTGGAATGAATAAGTAACTATTAACAAATAAATCCTGAAAAAAGATTCCTCACAGTTTATACCACAATCTGACACTGTAATACATAACTTAAAAAAGTATATGTTTAACTCTCTCAAGTAGAAAGTGAATTTTAACTTAATATTTAAAATTATTTTCTTTGTTTCAAAGGGGTCAGTCGAATTGACCAACCTCATAACCACTTTGTACTCGTTCTAGTTTCCATACTATAACTTTTAATAGGGTATGTGTATCTTCACAAAATTTGGCAGACTTTTAGTAAACATTACATGTTGTTTGGACACAAAAATCAGTTTTTTTTTAATGAAGTATTTTTACTAAAGACTTGTCAATGAATATACTGAATCTTTTTTTGGCTAGTCCAAGTACAAAGTGAATTTTAAATTAATATTTAAAATAATTTTCTGTTTCATTTGTGTAACCTCCCAAATCTCCTAAATAAATATAAAACTTTACATTTTATCTGTTATTACTTCTACCCTAAAAATATATTTGGTTCTTCAGTCAGTAGACAAATCATCAAAGTATAATGAAAAGTTGTACAATCAGAAATAAAATGAGCAGCTAGGCCCTTTTATCTTTATTATTGGTCATGAAGCATCAAAGTACTTCTCCTGAGTTTAAACTTCTAAAGACTTCACATTTATTTTTGATGTTTATTTTAATGTCAACAACTGAAGAAGAAATCCACTGAAAATAAAGCAACAAATAATCACTTGTGTCATAAGACTGTTTACGTGACAACATAATATGATACTCTTGAGAGCAACAAAACATGCACGAAGAAATAAACCAATTGACTCTGAGAACACAATGTGGAATTTATCAGCTTATGTATCCTACAGTGTTTACACCAAGAATTCCCCATAGTGATAAAAATCTCGTATCCGTTCAGAGCAACAACTTCACAATTCAACAGTTTCAGCAACATTATGACTTTCTCCTTCAACTATTTACAAACAACTGTCAGATTTTACATACACAGAAAACTGCTATATATCTTGATAGTAAACACTTAGTCAAAAGAAGTAAGTGGGACTAGGAAAGAGGTTTCAAAAGAATGCAGTGGGAGAAACTACTCTACAAGATTGGCTAAATGTATTGACATCTCACAAATCAAAGAGGTGGAAGATTCTTATTTTATATTCTAGCTTTTCTATATCCCAAATTCGAGTTTCTATTTCATTAACCACTGAACATGTTGTATAATAGGCATAATAAAATATAAACTGAGCAATAAGACAATAGGAGTTGCTATGTGACAAATAAAAATTGATATTTAGGATTTTTTCTTTATATTTCCTCTTAAATTAAGAAATTAAAACATATATAATATTAAAATTTGAATTATACACTGTGTTTTGATTTCAATTTCACTGACATAAGTAACAGTAAATTTATTTAATAAACTTTTGAAAGTAACTCTGTAAAAGGTCATGACAGCAAAAGGGTTAAAAAAAAGGGAATATTCGTGAACAGTTAATGTTACTAAGAAATGAAAATTGGAAAATATAGTGCTAACTGAAGAGGTAGAAATGAAAATAGTATTTTTTTTCTCCACACAAACAGCATTTATGAAGATGTTAAAATATGTTATGTTTTTAGCTATATTAGTAAACATTACTCCTAGTTTACTTTGTTTTATTGGCTCTTTCTGCTGTAGTTGAAATACATCAAATGTTTCTTTTTCATCTAATTTAGAAAATTACATACATATGAGCACATTTACAGCTTTTAACAATAGAGAAATTAATTACAGCATATAACTAACATGCAAGTGTCCTAATTGCATGATACTACAGATCATTCCATTTTGGTACTTACTCTACCACTGAAGATTCAGTGGTGACCTATTCAGTTTAGTACTTTGTATGTTTTTTACTGAGATCAAATGTGTCAAGACTTACAAATACTTGGTGTTTTATCTTTTATATTTTTACATAGGATGACCAGACATGATATGGATAGAGCAGATACTGTACTAGAGATAATACTATTGTTTTCTCTGTATAGTTGTCAACTATCTTAGTCTCATTCAGATTTTCTTCAGTTTTAACTGGATCTATTTTTTATGTTAATGCTTTGACTACGACAAGCACTCTTGGAAAAATCAGCTAGAAACCTTGATGACATTGCCTTTGACCCGTGTGGAAAGGGTTAAGAGCTTTCACTAATTAGAGTACTGCTGTCTATCACCTGTGTTGCTTTAAATAAAGACTAATTTTTACTTTATTTTTAAATTTTGTTCAGTCTCTCTTTCTTTAACTCAGTCAAAGCCAAGTATTCAGATTTAACTCCGCATAACATTTTCTGATGTTTCTCTTGTTACTGTGTTTATTTTTATCTGTAATCGTTGCAACTGAAAATAAATAACATTCTACAAACTCACTTAAAATGTTTCCAGAATCCTCGAGGTATATAGTACTGTAGTTTGCTACATGCCAGGTGACCAAAAATAGCCTGTACTTGTTTTAGCACACCTAAATTGTACTCCTTTCTTGAACCTTCTCTATTTGGATGCTTCTCATCAAACTGCTCACTTTCTCCAGTCTCAACATTACTTTGAGCCTTTTAAAAACAGGAAATGTTACTTTACAATTACTGTTAGCATTTTATTCAACAATATTACTCATTTTTAAATTAGTGAATGCAAAGTTATTAAAAAATAAGGCTTAGGTTTTTTAACACTATTTAATAATTTTGAACCTTTGTCTTTTAAGTATATTTCAGTGAACAATAGCAGCCTAGTAGACCTTTCAAGATTCTATCACATGACTATAAGTTTTTCAAGTGAAATTTCTGATGGATATAATCACTGCCTACTTCTTTAATATTCTGAAGCAACACTTATTAATAAAATTTTAAAAATGTTAACGATATTAAATTGCTTCCTAAAAAGCTTAGTTTCTTACTGTACTGTTACTATGATAAAAACGTTTGTTTTACAGTTAAAGTGTGATTAAAACTGACAGACACTCCTGTTTGAGTGTGATAAAGAGATACATAAATTCATATATTACTTAAACAATATGCTCAAAAGTTGCAATAATGTTACTGAGCTGTGTTGAAAGACCAAGAAATACGCCATGTTAGTACTTACATTTTAAGACTGATTGTTTTCACTAATTCACGTAAATTCAAATATATGCCATTAATATTTTAACACAAAGTACACTGATTGATTTTACCTCATTATCTAATCTTTCTTCTCCAGAAAAGTCTTCATTAGGATCAGTGGCAGCTCCTTCGACAGCGAGAATTTCATTTCTTACTTCTTCTATCATATACAACTGTTAAAGACAAGAACATTTATACTATAAATGAATCATATGTTAATTAAGATCAACTAGGTGTAATATTTTTTCTGAAATTATACAAAAACTGAATTGTTGAAACCCAAACACTTACAACTTTGCAATACTTTATTTGGAATCTGAATATTTTTTCTTAAACATTCAAATACATTATGTTTCTTTGCATGTTTTATATTATTATAGTTTGTTATACCAAATATGTCTAAATATGATTAGAAATACAAGAATTAATGTCAATCACTTGTTCAATGTTAGGTGGATATCCTTAACCGCTACTTTAAAAATACGTTAGGTTATATTTTATTTGTACATTCTAATCAAGCAAAAGCAGGCTTTACAATGAAAGTTTGTACATTTAGTTTTCAGGTCATTTAACAACAGGGTAAAGGCTTAGAATGGTATCTGAATAATTCGATGACGATCTGAATAAGTAGATTTAATAATTCATAACTTACAATTAGACATTACTTATATATAAACTCTATAATAAATTATTATTATTTTTAATTAAGAGAGTAGATATATATAAGGTAAAGAAATTTAGTTTGCACTCGGAAGAAAAAATTACTTTTCACAAGAACATTTGCATTACAATGTAAAAAAAAAAAACTAAAATAAAGTGACTGAAATATGAAAAGAAAAAATAAGACTTATTTACTGCTATCTGAACTGCATATTTATCATACTGATACTCTGATACTGAAAATATAGTAACAATATTTTGAAGTCAGAGTTCTGCAGACTGATATAAACATTATTTTCATTACACAAAAGTACCACAAATGTTTAACTTTTCATTCTAAAACAGTCTATATTAAGCATGTGCAACTTCCTCCAGGACGTAGGCTGGATAGCAAATTTTAAATGTACTTGCAGACCATACCGTATAAAGTAAAATCATAGCTAATAATCCATATTTTAATATTATACAAGTTTTAAGTTCTTAAGTTTATTAGGCAATATTAAAAAAACCCTGAATTTACCTTAGTGTGAGAAATGTGATATTTTTTTCTCTAGGCATCCTCTCTTCTCTAATTTATTCACAACTCCTCCAATAAGTATGAAATTTAGTATAAATTACTCACTATAATATCATCATCACTCAAACAAAGCATAACTTTCCTAGCCTTCAATCTTGTTTGGTTACAGAGCCATCAAATAGAAAATCAGACCCCTCTTGCCACACCCACCTATCACCCCCCCCCACAAGGCAGCATTTCTTAATAGTTCTCTCTTGTGTTTAATACTATATTATTTATAATCAAAAGAAAGCCATGGTTTTCATCTATCAAACGATGTATTATGTTACATTGTTTTCTTTACAGAGAGTTGTCAATTTTGCTTTTAATACAAGCTACTCTCCCACAAGAAAGATATATTGAGTAGCTTGGATGAATTTGTAATGGCTCTTGTTGCATAGTTAGAAAGCCAGAAAAACTGTGATAGTTATGGGACATTGTCTGCTTTTTTTACATGTTATTATTTTATGTTCTTTAGTGCATTATTTATTTAAACAAAAATTATTTTGTGCACTACTATCATTAGTATAGAAAAGTAGGGTTAAGTATCATCAACAGTGGTCAGCCAAAAAAAAAGAAGCCCTGGGTAAGTACTTTATTTCTTGTTTTTCATGTACATTCTTTATTTATTACTATAAATGTCACTAAAATAAAAGAATAGGAAATTATTTAAGTTGGTTAAGGTTAGATTAGGTAAAATAAATAATAACCATATAATAAAAAAATTGAGTTTGTCTGCAGCTCACAGGCTTGATTCAATTAAATTTTAAGAACTCATCATGGGACTAATAAAACCACCTTGCCGGCCACATCCAGCCCACGAGCCGTACATTGTACATGACTGGTCTATATAATGAGAAGTGTAAAAATCAACTTGCCCTATACCTAGGACTTTCAAATTTTGAGTTTGGGTTACATGAATTTCGTATGTACCAGTCTGGGGTTAGTTCAGTTCTGCTTGACAGAAGTGTGTGTACATGTTTAAAATCTGACTCTTCATTTAATTATAAAATTTAGAAAGATGCTACCTTTATTTGTTGTTTCCTTTCAAATAAGAAACTTTTTAAAGTTTTAAGACAAGCAACAATTTATATGCTGAACCGATTTGATTAATTTTCAGTCTCAGTTTATAAAAGAGTAAGCTCTATTTTTATATAAAGACTTTGTTCATAATTGGCTCTTGTCAAGATCTTTCAAATTATTAATTGTCTACTGTTATTGAAGTTTTTGTAAGATCAGTAGCCTGTTTATTAACGACAGGCTAATTTCTGACATACAAACACATTTGTAACTTAATTACAAACTTGTAAATTCAAATGTCCAACTATTTAGTTTCATATTTATACCATTTTCTAATGTGTGTATATTTTTTTTTGCTGGATTAGAATAATTATTCTGTAATAAAAAGTTTTATTGACATGAAATGTAACAGCTTTATTTGGGCAAAATTATGCAGACCAACCACTTGGAACTCCATGATCTTTTTTTCTTAGTTACACTGGAAAAGAATATAGTTATCCAAATGTTGGACTGTCGTGTGGTTGTTTTTTATATGTCATCATATATGTAAATTGAATAACCTGCCTAGAAATTTTACATTTGTATATATTACAAATTAAATCACAGTATTTCTACTGTTACAGTAATTTCAGTGTTACCTATGTACACAGGTTAATTTGCCCATGTATTTTACATCAGCATCACATATGCTATAGTAAATCATATTATTTTTAGTTTTGTAATATTGTAGGAGTCACTGCAATATATGTACTTGTAATGTGTAATAATTTAGTCATCTCAATGAAAAAAAAAAAAAGTTTGGCCTGTAGAATTTTAATTTGGGCTATTAAGCTTTTCATACCTACTGTAATTAAAAAAAAACTAATATCATAAAAACTATGACATAAGCTTTTTCAACAGGTGTATTTAATTTGAAAAGTGTGATTATTTTATTCTACTTCTAAAGACAAGACTACTTTAAAGCATAAATAATTGATCAGTATTTCAAAATCAGCCAGACCCTAAATTTCAAGTAGATTAACTCCAACTGTATTGGTGTGAATGGTTTTTAAAAATAACTTCAGTTGGTGAAATATGATCATAAACAGTTATATCTGTCATAATGTTGTATTTTGTAACACAACCTTCTTTATTCAACCCCTTATGGTTTTTCCAAGAAGAAATGTATATAATAGTATTTGAACCACACTGTGTCTGCCATATCCATTATATCTGTTACTTCCAGACTGTTAATTTTGACTCAATTTGACAGTTCACTCTCTATACATGGCATAATATTCACAAATATTTATGTTATGTCTATTCATTAGCCATGTTCTTTACTGCCAGAGCATGTGCAATGTTGACCAAATGACAGATAATTAGCAGCCTTAAAGAACAAAAATAACTGTAGATTTTGGCCTGAACTGGGTAAATTAACCCACGAGTTTATCCCATGAATGAAAAAAGCAGTACCTATTTTCTGCCTACTCTCTTAGTTTAATGCTACTATATCACATATAGTGACTAATACTATTGCAATAATGCAAACGCTTGTACAAGCACATTTGTATACATTAGATAAAACTATTACCTCCCTCATCTTTCCTCTAGTCCTGAGGTAGTTAATTAAATTGGTAAAAAAAAAAAAAGTTTAAATATCTGCCTTTCAGTTTAAAAATTACTTGTAGTAATTTAGCCATATTTTCAAATATCTTAAAAAGGTTTTCTTCACACTTTTAAATGATCCTGAAACACTAAGAAACTGTCATGAAATAAGTAATTACAGAACTTACTAATAATGAATTACTTAATAAACAAAAAATAAGGAGTAGAGAGAGATTAATTATTTATTAAATTGTGAGAAGATTAATGGAACTATCCATTATGTTCAGTTCTGGTTTATATGCCATAATGGCCAGAGATTCTTAAACTTTAATAAGAGTTCATTCATCAAGCACAAAAAATATGAAACTGGACTGTTAGAATAATGGAATCACATTATCCTGAGTGCCTGAATACACATGATTTATTGTAATTAGAGAAATATCTATGTTTGACAGAGACACCTGGTTGTTAAACCAACATAACCTTCAGAGCATAAATGGTAGGTATACTAGTAAACTAGTGCTTTCTGTAATTTCTGAGCCTTGTCTTTAAATGGGATGACACTTTGAAGATGAAAAGAACTTCTAAACCCACATCTTACATGTAGTTGTTTTAACAGCTCAATATGATATTCTTTTCTATGTTTCTGATGAATGAACTCTTACAGAATCGCTGGCCATTATGGTCTATATATATAAGAACTGAACCTAATGGATTAATCATCTTCTGAGAATTTTATAAGTATCTGATAATCAAAGAAACTACTTCTTTAACTAATTAATAGTAATTACAAATTGTTTTTGGCATATAAAGTTACTCAGTGTTAATGAAAACTAAAATCTAGGATATTAATGTATTGAATGTAGCTAAAGTTCAAATATACAAAGTAACCTTAGGCTTGACAAGACATAATAAGGATCTAAAACCTTCCCTCAACAAAACAGAAAATGTAAAGGAACATCTTTTCAACTTATAGGACTTTGCCCTAAAATTTATTTATTTTTTGACAAATAGCTAGTTATAGTTACATGTAAATAAATAAATAAAAACAGAGAATATTCAAATTACTTATATGAAAACATTATATGAGCATACCTGTTGTAATACTGAGTTCATATAGCAAGTAGCACCTGCATTCTTAAGGCCCACAAAACCCCTTGGTGGACGTGGACCTACTGGGGGGAGATACTCCCATTCTGTCAATGCCTGTTCATTTTCTAGGTATACAATAAAGAAAATAGCCTTGTATGTAAAGAACAACTACTAATCTAAAGTATATACTGTGAAGTAACACACTATAGTATGGTACAAATTTACTTTGGTAGTTGAAACAAAATAACAATAAGGAACCATAATATAATATAAAGTCTACAAAACATATAAAAAAAGTTTAGCTAAACCTGTACAAAGGTATCTTTGTACTAAATCTCATGTAAACTGGTCAAAAAATGGCCACGTAATTGACCAAAAAATCCCAAAATTATCCTTTTTTATGAGCCCTGACCCCCCTAAAAAAATCTCAATATGAACAAATCCAACTTTTCTGTATGTCACTGTGTTGGCTACATGAAAATTTATACTTGCATCAATTTTCATCTTGATTGCTGTAAATATGACTGCACAGAAGCCCACAATATACATTTTTGAGTTGTTTGACCTTTGACCTTATAAAATTCTTAAAAAGACCTAATTAAAGAAAAGATGAAAAGGTATCTAGGTGTATTAAACCAAGGTATAACCCTACCAAGTTACAAGTCAATCCACCAAGAAATGAAGGAATGGTGGTTAACTGAAAAATGTTTGGAAGAAGAAGAAACACCACCACAAAAACAGCATGTTTACCCATGGAGACATAAATATACATCACTTAAAAGAGCCTCAAAAGACACACAAACTCACATTTCACCATTTTATATCATACTGGAAATGCCCCATATTTTTTTCACCTAATGCCTAAGTGTCAGCGACATTAAAATTCAGTAAAAAAGCTCAACAAATACTATAATTCATAACTCTTAGTAGAAAAAGTAACCTACATGCTTGAAAATAAACATAAAACAAGAGGGAATCCTCAATAGCCACATCACTTGAAATTCTTTTAGGCAGGATTAGAGTAAATTAATAAACGAGAGCTTTTTTTTCCCTTTTTATTAGCTATATTTTTGTGTACCAGCAATACCAAGCGTGGGGCATGAGTATACCCGATTTACTTTTATTACTCATCAGGATCTTTACCAGCCTACCCTCAAATTGAAATTCTTTTAGGCAGGATTAGAGTAATTGAAACTAAGAGATCTTGGGAATGGTCAAATATATCAATCAAAAGGGTTTGACCTCTCCAAAACTGTAATTAAATCTCAAATTGGTCAAGAGATGATGGAGCTACGAGTTAAAAGTTTGTACTTGAAAAAAAAACAAAAAAAAACTCAGAGCCATTCTATGAGCCTATATGCTGCAGTTAAAAATAAGTACCTTAATTTTTCAGCCAACAGAAGAATTATGAATACTTTGTTTTTTCTATAAAGCACTATAAAAAAACTCAATTCAGAAAAATTTCTAAAGATATGTAAAATTAGGTTTCCTCTCAATACAGGAATTGTAGAAAGAGCCAACAATATATTTTTCAGGTTGTTCTATTAAGATTTGCATTATGTATACCACAGAATTTGATCTATTAAAACAAATTCTAATTACTGGCATTAATGACTAAATAAAAAGTACTAACCAGAATAAAACATTTCGGTTAACATGTCTGCAAGAATACGAAGATTTGGAACACAGCCTGTACAAAGTGCTGCCAGCAGATCAAAGGCTGCAAGTACTGAAGCTGAGGAGGAACAAACTGGAATAGCCTGTTCTCCAGGGAGCTCACCACCACTTCTCTGAAACTGAACTATGACCCGTGAAGCAGGGAAAATAAAATCTTCCATCAATTCCTGTTGTATACAAAAGAGTTTAGCTATTAGCACATGTATTTAACATTTGTTCTTTGCATATACATATATATATTTATTTATTATTAATATCAAAACATAGTTTACAACACATTTAAATCTAGAAGTACTGGATTTTGTAACAATTAAATAACAAAATGAAATATAATATTCATAATTCCCTGCCATAGCTGGAAAAATATAAACAAGTATCTATCTGTAATTAATTTTATATACTAATACAAACGTGTATGTAATGTAAGTGAATTATTAACAATACTGAGGAGAAAACAGAGAGTAATAAAAGGACACAAAATATTACAAGTATTTCTTGTTCACAAAAAGTTAAAAATTACAAACTTCACTAAAACCATATAATTCTTTTGTCTATTCTGGTACCCAACCTTATCTGTATTTATATTTCATTTAATTATAGTCGATATTAACAAACACTACTCACTTTAATTAAATTTCCTCGTTTGAAAGAGGGTTCAGCTCCAACCTCAAATTTTTTCTCTGGACCAAGAAAAGAAACAAGTTCACGTGTAATTCCTAGGTGTCCTTCCAAAAGTACTTCATCTACTTGGCTACTGCCCGTAGTCATGATGTTTTCCTGGAAAGTAAAGAGACATGTAGCTTTATTTACTTAAAGTAATACAATAAAAACAAGTCTCTCTAAAAATATTACATTAACCCAATGTAGTGATTATTTGTTTGTGTAAATGGTCTACAGTTGCTTTAAATTAGATCTAAATACTGAGATTTTTATGGGTAAGATGAAAATATTTTCTTTGTTAGCTACAAGCATTTTCAAGTTTAGATAATTATCATAAAAATATGTTAGTGTTTATAATACCAAATTTTTGTTTTACTACTTTCCTTCGCATCACTACTTATCCAATTACAGAACTTTTTGAAGATACCTAAAGTTTACTTACTCAGGATTTACGTTTTCAAACACAATTACAAACAGTATAGCTGCAATTACTAGTGTTTCACACATGCACAAAGAAAAAATCAAAATCACACTACAAATTTACACATAAGACTTTGTAACACTTTCAAATACTAGATTTTTGTTACATGAATAATCTTTGTTAAATTTTCAAATGAAAATACTCATGTGTCTTTTATTAGAAAGTGATAAGATTTATTACTGATAAGTATCACTGCTTTGTGATAGATATTATAACACTATATAAGAAATTTTATTTAACAATATTCACATATGATATCATTCAGGATCTGAACCAGAGCTAAAATAAAATAAAAACATCAATCTTTTTACCACAGGTAACTGTGCTGTATTAGTGAACATGTTGTAATTGACAAATTGCACAAAAATGTATACATTTCCCGTTCAAGTTAATTTTAGTGATTTGATTTTTGGCTAATAATTTTACACATAGTGTGCCAGCAGTATCATCAATGCAAAGAACATGATATTAATTTAAATTGGTTATGCATATCTGTTGAAAGAAGTGAAAGTGAGGACATACTTGTTCCCAAGGTAAGATAATGTCCAAAATCTTTAGAGCAGAGAAGCATGTGTACTGTTAAATAACAAAACTTGCTCATTCAAAATACAGTGTGAAAAAATTTGGAAAATTAGCAAAAGACATTCCTCTTTTAAAATACTGATAATTAGGGTTTTACTGAACCAAAGCTTGTTTCAATCGAGTATGTAGCGAAAGTAGTCAAACACTTCCATTTCATAGTTTCTATATAGTATTGAATATAAACAACACACATAACACTTTTATATTAACACACATTTGTGTGTTTCTCAGATAAAAATGGCTTTAAATTCAAATAAGATGTTGCGGTGATGATAATACTTGGTAAATTAAGATTACCTCTGTGTATTTCACAATTTTCATAATGGTAATTTACTGAAACTTACAGTGCAGGATGCCCAACATGAAAAAGTTCCTGTTGATTCTACTGTACAATCTGTGTCCAAATCAAACCCTATGGCATATGTTGTATACATGTATGCAACTATTTTGCAACCCTTCTAATACCATCAATCTACCTATCACTACAAAATCATCATGCCTTTGGGCAATAACTTACAGTGTACTCTTACATTTTTCCATATGAGGTCAGTGGGTTACACTGACCTTTTAACTTCAAAGTAACCATCAGATTTTCCATACTATAACATTTTAATATGGTATGTGTATATTCACAAAATAAGGCAAGCTTTCAGTAAACATTATCAGCCTTTTGTACACAAAAAATCAGACTTTTTAAGAAAGTAATTTTACTAAAAATGTGTGTGAATACATGGAATCAGAGTTTTGACTGCTCTGAGTGAAAATTGATTTTCATGTTAAAATTAAAAATACTTTTATAATCTGAAACTTTCAAATTCCATTTGTGTAACCTCTAATGCCTCCTAAATAAATATCAAACTTTTTTTCAGACAAACTTCATATTTTATTTGTTATTTTCCCTACCCTAATGCTGATTTGACCGACCTTCTAACACCATAAGAAAATATACAATAAATCTAAATTAGTCATTCTTTTTCGTTCTGAAATGATCACAAATTGTAGCAGGAAATTACAGTTGTTTTCCCTAAATAGCTTAGAGCTTGTAACAGTACACATCTGTTTATATTTTATTTTATTATTTTACTGCCTTTTGAACCATATCTAACAAATAATCCTGCATACAAGTTGTAAATCACTCAGCAAACCTGTAGCTCATGTTACTGTAATGAATGATGTAATGCACAAGCTACTCGCAAGCATAGCTCGTGGAGAATTTTTTTATTATTATTTTACCTAATCTGACATTATGAAGTTCAATAAATTTCTAATTTTTACACTTTAATTACTTCTATAACAACAAATAAAAATATACATGAAGAACAAGAAATAAAGCATTTAACTTTGACCTCTTTGTTTATTTGCAGTCAGTTGTTTATACTAATGGTACTAGTACACTAAATAATTTTTATTTGCTTAAATAATTCACCTAAGAACACAGAATAATAATACACACAAAGCAAACAATGTATTGTCACCTAAAAGTTAACTGGGTTTCTAACTATAGCATAAGAGCCTTAAAATATTTCCCTAACCTTCTCGACCTGAACACCATGAGAGAAACTTTCAAACTGAAGATGAAATAGACAATACTTTATACTGAAAATAACATAATATAAAACGTCAGAGAGAATTATTGGTGATTTGGGAAACAGAAAATGTGATAGGTGGGTAGGTATGGCAAGTGGATTTGACTTTCTAGTTTATGTCTCCATAAACAAAAAAGATTGAAAAGTATAAAAATTACACTTTGCCTTAGTAATATCTGCATGGTAATAAGTTATTTTATGTTAAACTCCCTACTCAGAGAGGGGTGGTAATTAAATTAGAAAATGAGTAACACCTAGAGAACAAATGTCACGATTCTCATATAAGGGGAGATTGGGGATTTATTTAAATATTTCCTTCTAAAACTAAGAAATTAAAACTCATATAATATTAAAATCTGATTTACTAACTATGTTTTGATGTGAAGTTTATAATTCATATACATTGATAATAAAGTAGTTTAATTAAATTTTGAATGTTGCTCTGTAAAAGGTGTGACATACTCACTTTAACCTACCCATAGGAGAGAAAATTGTTAAGCTAAAAGCACCAGTTATTATATAAAAGTGAATAAAGGCCTAAAACAAAGGCTAATAATAATCTATGGAATCTATGATACTTTATCTAAAAATCTTATGTGGCTATTGATTTAACACAAAAATATTACAACTCCTAATCACAATAAATGCTTCTTTTACACAGAAATTACAAAACCAACACTTACCTAATAATTTATTAAAATGTAGTTTTGAGAGTGACACAAAGAACTTTAAAAACTGATTATATAACAGTGCAAAACTATTACAAGTTTACCAAATGGTTTCAGTTTAATTTACTTTCAAATCTTATTACCAAAACTGCATTGCAGCTTCTTAATACACTTATGTTATGAAAAATGCAAAACATTCATTGATACTATCTAATATTTAAAATAAATAATAAATATTCAAAATAACATTTTGATTACTACATTATCATTATCAACTATTCCCAAAAATTCCATATAAAACATGTAAAAAAATGTAGAAGTACCCAATTTTCTGTTTCGTATAATTTTAATACAAAGTATTAAACTTCACATTTTATGTATGTATATCTTTTTATCTTTCAACAAAATTTAGGTTTGGAGGATGGTAACGTTTGTAAAATTTAATATGTATCTGATATTTGAAGTGATCTTTTTTTCTAAATGAACCAAAAATTATAAATTAACATTTACACAAAAAATGAAGAAAAGCAGTTCAATATGTAAAATATTTCTACTTAACAAATGTGGATCTATACAATGAAGATTTTAGAAATCTCTTTTAGAATAATGCATTTACATCTAAGAAATTAAACAATGCACATTTTCAGTACTTTTTATAGGCTTAGAAGTAAGAACTTAATCTAATAAGTCCTCCAATACATCATCAAGTACTTACCCGCACCTCCTTCAACCAGTCAATTTCAGCATGCAGTAGATTTTGAGCTGTAGGAAGCGGGCAATTACTTCCACTGGCATAGTTCAGGAGACGACACAACAATTGAAAGAACTCATGAGAATTTCTGGCATTTTCTCGTACTGTGGTCTGTATAGAAAATACACAATACTTAGGACAAAACATTTTTTCTAGTTTAAATAAAATACAAATGATATAATACAGTGTCATACTCCACAAAATTTGAAAATAATAAATTTACTCTTTTTACAAATAACAGCTATGAAAATAATTGTGCAAAAACAATTTAAATTAATCAAAATAAAAAAGGTCACTATTTTTGAAATTTTCAATTATATAAACATAAAATGAAGCAAAAATGCATCATAATTTAAAGGATTTATATAAACTTCTCATAGTGAGACCTGAAAATAAAAGCCTGCAGTTTAAAACCAGAAAAAACAAGTAAACATTATATAAGTGCATTCACTTCTGAGAAAAACCAACTTTTGCATCTTTCTGTTTTCCTTATTTCTGACTCAACATTTTATGTTGTAATTTTAACTGATATTGTTATTATTATGATAATCCATCCCCCTATTTCTATATCCAACTGATGAAACAAAGCATTCTAATCTTTACAAGTACGAACATAAGAAAAATATACTTAGTTAGATATACTTATTACAATGTTGATTTTTAGTTTGCTCTAAATAGGTAGCTTGCTGTGATTGGAAGTTCTTATTAATTACAAAAACATTTCAATACCAATGTAAAGCACGAGTTAAAAAAAAAGGGGTGGGGATAATCGATTGTATGAATTCAGTTACTAATTTACCAAAAAGAAGGTTAAATAAAAACAAAAAGAAATAAATCATGAACTGAAGCCTTATGAGTTCAGAATGTTATGATGAGCTGAAACTAAAGTACAAAAAAAAAGCATGCCAATGTGCATGTGAAGAATGGCAGAACAGACAAGGAATTAAGAGCCCTAGCAAGATAAAGTGTTTAAAATGCAAACGATTGGAACTATCATCTCTTTCACAACCAAACAGAATGCTCACATAAAAAATATGCAGAGCAAATTTTGTGTGTCATAGTGAGAGATGTGGCAGTTGGTACATGCTAAAGTCAGTCTATGGTGTCAAAATTGTATCACTAAGGTATACGTAGAAAGGTATTATTTTCAGGCTTTAGGAAATACTAAACTACACCCTACATTAATTAAAGAAAAATGGTGTCTTGGTATGTGATGTAATGGAATAAAATTTAATGTCGAGCTAAAGAAAACTGACTTAATGCTTTATATCAACCACTTGAAAGAACTATTGAGACTATTAAAAGAAAAAAGCAAGTCATCTTATTAAAAAATTAATGCTCTACCACTAAAGTAATGCATATTAAACAAGCTACAGTTAAAAAATAAATATGAAACAAATGTTCAGAATGTTTTATAAAAACACTGAATATAAGGAAAAACTGCTTAATCTTTATGAAAACCATTTAGCAGTAGAATGGAGATTATTACAAGAACTGAATCAGTCTTTCAATTACCTCATCATATAAATACAGAGAAAAAGATGTAAGCATTGCTTTTTCTACTGAAACAGTGTATCAAAACTGAGAAAAATGTTGAAGTAAATCCCCTGTACAGATAAAAGTACACAATATCTTGTGTCTGTTATAAAGTAGGTTAAATTATCCACTCCATGCAAACAAAAATACAAACAAGGCTTAGTTTTCCTTATATTAAATCATTATTTCCCATTTCTGTTTCCAAGACAATACAGGTACTGAAAACTTTCTAAAAGTTAACCAAATGTGCACAGGTTCAGTCCATTCAAGGCCAGCCTTAGGATGAATCCATTGAGGCAACTGCTTCAGTGGCCAAGTCAATTGTATACTTCTAGTATCCAAACTTGAGAACCTAATCCTGAGTTCTTGCCTCAAGCCTCATACCCTCTCTAACTGGTATTAACTTTACCTTGAACTATCAATAAATCAGCAATGTAGGGTAAAATGAGTAGTTGATAACTCTTACATCAATTATATAATACTACGTTGAATGGCATTACATAAAAGGTTATGGCATGTGCACTTTGACCCCATCCATGCATACAGGATTTTAAAAAATTTTAAAACACAAGGTTAAAAGTTATGCAAGGCACATACATAAATGCATAACATGCAATATAGGAAAAAAAAAACTGAGAAACCACCCATCAAAGTTAATTAATATTTGAGAAAATTCGAGACAGATAAGGCAATAATCTAGCAACCAAGACTTGAGCAATTTCAAGTCTTCTAAAAAGAATGCTTTCAACCTGTAAACAGTTGATATCAAATCTTAAACTGTTGCACAGTTTATAGAAAAACTAATTCATAACTTATGTAATAAAAATCCATACTAAGTTTGATAAGGTATACTACTCAATATATCAGACATGAGTATAGAGCCCAATAGTTTAAATATGGAAATTAGGGAGCTTATATCCTGTGCAGAAAACTGGTTGAAGAGTGAGGTGATAAATATATTTGTGGCATTATTAAGACAAAGTATGTTTTGCACAGAAGCAAAACAAATTAATAGCTTCAAAGCAAAGTTTCAGAGAAACTAATGTTATCATGAAAAATTACATAACAAGAGAGATAAAACTAAAGTTAAAAACTTACAAAAGTAAAAGGAGTTAAAGAGTTTAAGAAAGCTTAAGCTATTGGTTATTAAAAAGCTGAATTTCACAATCAGAATTCTGTTTTATTAGAATTCTTCCTTTTTAAGAGTGAAAATAACCATCACACATCAAAAAATAAATCAGCTTTTCACACTACAGTGGGGTTTTAAAACACCAGTGTGGCTTATATTTGACAATTCTAAAATGCATAATATATAATAAAATCAAAACCTAATTCAAACTCACCTTCAGCTGAGTGAAAAGTAATGTTATAAAAAAGACTAGAGGCTGGTGTCCTGGATAACATTTTGTAGCCACCAAAGTAAACTGTTCTGTAGCCGATACCCTAATAGATCTGAAAGAATAAGCAACAAAAACAAACTTGAATGTAGAAGAAATTAAGGGCAAAATTATATTTTTGTACCTTGTACATAAATTTTTTCCACTAAATTAATTTTTTTAGTCTTACAACAATTTTTCATAAATTCTTTTATACATTTTTGCATTATTCTTTATTCGGATAATTTTACTGAAAAATAAATAATTTAGTGACTATGTATATTTTTAGTCTTACAATAATTTCTCACACATTCTTTTATAAGTTTTTACACTCTTTTATTCAGATAGTTCAATTAAAAAATAAATAATTTAGTGACCATTTGAGCACAAAAAGTAAAATGTAAATATTCAATCAGAAATACAAATACAAAAAAAAAAAGACAGAAAGAAGGATACAAAAAAAAAGCTTTCTACATCCATCTAACTGATAACATACTCAGCCAACCTAGCATGGAAATCAGCTTAATCTGGATACTTCTCTTGAATTCAAATAAGTTAGTTGATTAAAGTCCTAATAAGGGTGACATCAGATGAGTGGAAAACATGCAAATCTCTCTGTTAAAAAGACCTAGGTCAAAATCCCAGCCATTACAACCATAGAAATAGTTCTTCCAATGACTTCCCTGAAGACAGCAGCAGATTAGAAGAAGAAATGTAGGATAAAAATTGTTTACCCTACATGAGAAAAGTCTACCTTTCGAAAGTGCTCGGATTATAGGGTTTCTTATTTTTAATTGATTTTTTGAACCTACGTTTTCCTAACATCATGCATGACAATGATTTATATATATGATCATCACCACCTTACTGTAAGTATTTAAAGGCAAGTCTGTTCATTGAATTACTAAGAAAAATTGTTACTGTATACGAGTACAATGTGGAGGTCATTAAAGGTGTGTCAACTAATAAGCAGTTATTCACTAAATGATGGCCTCAGTCATGTTTATGTCACTTAACAGTTTTGCTTGAACAAATCCTCTACAAAGTTTTAAAAATATAAATGGTTAATAAGAGAATATGGAGAAAATGTAGGTCTGATTGTTGGCAAAAAAAAGAAGATTTAAGTGGTATCAAAGATAGAGCATCATGTTTAAATAAATTTTGGTAAGTTCATGGTTGCGACTATAATCATTCTTTAACAGTGACATCTTAAATTTATGTCTGTTTTTGTTGTTTTAGAATTATTTTGTAAAGCTATGCAAGTGGCTATATGTGCATAGCTGTCTCTAATTTTGAACTGATAGATTGGAGGGAAGGCAGCTAGTCAATAGCACTGAACAACAACTCTAGGGCTACTCTTGTGTGACCAATCAGCAGGATTTGGCTGACTCTCTTAAAGTGAACCCACAGCCTCAAAGTTGAGGTAATGAGTTAGAAACCCTCAGATTCACAGACCATGCCCTACCCTAAATTTATCCATACTTACTTCTAAAATGCATGTTAGTTAAACAAGGTTAAAAATAGCAATTGTCACTTAGCAAAGAATAAACACAAACAAAATAAAAGGGCTTTTAACCAAAAGGAAAATATCAAAGCATTGATTGAACAGAAAAAAAAAGTTTAACAACAAACAATGTGAAATACACAAAGTAAATAAGGAGATTAACATACAGAAAAATGTAACTTGAGCAATTTAGTAGTTGCTTTGACATATTGGAAGGCCATATAAATAGTAAAGTCTGCATAGTTAATATGATACATAAAAGGCAATATACACATATATAGTTCATGTAAAATTTCATGTAATCCCCCCAAAAAATTAATTTGGTGAATGGTTTTTAGCCATAAATTAAATACTCTTTTTTTTTCTTACCTGTTTTTACAGATGAGTAACAAGTCCAAAATAAACAAATGCCAGTTCTTATCTTTCATTAAAGTATCCAGTGATTCTGGACAAAGAGCTAATGTGACTGACAGCACCTCCAGAGCTTCTCTACACACCTGAGCATCTTCTGGGTCAATTGGCCTTGACACCTAAAGTATATAATATATATCCTCACTATTTTACAAACCTTTGGAACAAAAAAACATATGAAGTTTTAAACTTTTAACCCTTTGACTGTGTCTGCTTTAAACGTATGCAGAATTTTTGTGAGCCATACACTGTACACTCACATTTAACTGCCAGAGGCAGATTGTACCCTATACAGCAAATCAGCAGTTAATGGGTTAAAGAAACACTAGTTGTTTTTTTTACATTAAATATCAGAAAGTTGAACAAGATTACAGTTCTACAAGACAAGAACAATGACACAAATGTTATTTAATGAAATAACAAACATAAATGATTAATACTCCAAAGTTATCAAATATATAATTAGAGCTCTTGATTATTAACAACTGTCTGAATTACCATAAATGTTAATCAATATGAGTAAAATAAACTAAACAGCTGTCATTAATACAGTATGATTACTACTCATTAACCTTTAAAAATATTATCGTGAAATGCTTATGAACATATTTTACCTTTTCTTGTTGTTGGTGTAGGGCTTCATTAGCAGCTTGCACCAGTTGAAGTGAACCACAAGATGACGCCCAGCATAACTTGATAATAGCTCTAACAGTACAAAGATCTGGTAATGGACCTGTACCCTAAAAGTAAGTGGAATGCAGCTACAATATCACAGCTAGAATTTTCCTCAAATTTTAAACTCCAACCAAGTTGATCAGTCATGATTTTCAAAAATCAAGGCACAATTTCAACACATGTCCATTGCCAAATGCTTCAATAATCATGTTTAAATATTTAAATGGAAGTGCCTGATTAGCATGAAAAATATTGCAGTGACTGTCTCATTTCTGTAGGTAAATCAATGTTATTTTTTTACTATGAATCTACATAACTGTGTGGCCCAATACCAGCGAAAATGCATTGTACATCATTTAGCCGTACATATACAGACAGTTGAAATTTAAAGACCAATACAAATTAAAATAGCATTTATATTTATTAGCAACACTGGAAGCAGATGCACTAATTTCAATCAAAAGGCCTACATTCAGGACTGTAGCAATACTGACAGAGACTGGAAAGCTTTAGATTTTATCTACATAATGCTTTATGTTCAGTACTTTTTTTGGGTGTTTGTATCTGAAGAGGAAAAAACAACAATAAATGGCCACTTAAAATTCTTTTGGGGTGAATTTCAGCACCAAGAAATTTCTACTGACATCTAAACATTTTGATGACTACTTGATAGAAATATAAAAAAGAATTAATTTCATACCATTAAAATATATTTCAATTGTATAACTACTTAATTAATATGGAATCAAATGTATGCAGATATATAGAAACAAATTCTTCAAATTTATTGAAGATACCTTAGATTTTACGATATCACAAATATCACATAGACTGATAAACCATTAGTTAAGACAATACTTGTTAGTTGCTCAACAAGCTTATTTGGTATTGAATATCATTCAATATCAAACACTAGAAGGTGTCTCAAGATTTTATATGCAATTCTAAAGGCCTTAATATTTGTTGTTTTTTTTCTTTTTGAGGCTCAAAAGCATTTATGAAAATTTCTGAAATTTAAAAATCATCAAATTTAACAATTTTACTGTAGAATTTTTTAAATGGAACTCAATTAAATTGATGTTTATATTTTTGGACCTATAATCAGCCATTCTCATGATTGTTTGTAATGAAATACAAATAGAACATTCCCATAGATAATTTCTCCCCAAACCTGACAATGAGTTAAACATTCTTCTGTCGCAAAAAAAATGTTAAACATCATGATAACACAACTAATACTTTCATATCTCAGCCTAACAAATACAGCATTAATCAACCAACTTCCAGTTAACATTTAAAACATTTTTTTCACCACAGCATTCCTAACTAAGTCTTAGTCAACCAGCAAGTACTACTCAAGACTTCACTTTGCACTTTGTTTGAAAACAAACTTTAACTTTTGATATCTTTAATGAAGATTTAAAACCTTTTTCATAAAGAGTACATCTGTAAGTCTAGAAATACACTTTTCTTTTAATTCTGATAGTTTTGAATTTGGTAATTTCACTTTCAAAATTTTTCTTTAATAAACCCTACAATTAATTTAAGAATAATAGTAATAATTCTATTTTTAATCTGAAGCATACTTCCAACCCAAAACTATAAAGAGCAAATTCTTAACAAAGCTTTTACTCTTTGCTTAACATTAACAGCTACTTATCAAACTATGCCTGAACAATGACGTAAAACTAATGGGCTTGACTTGTGAACATGGCAATGTATTGAGGATGTCTATTATCTAATATACTCTGTTCTTCACATTTTTTTTACTTATCATTAAAAAAAAAAATGAAGATGCATTAATGAAGGTGTAACATTAAAGAATGTTTTTTTAAACACAGAAGATAATGTTCAGTAATCTGTAGAGATAAAATACAATATGCAAAAATCCTAAAATTTTTATTTGGATTAACCACTATCATTAATTATAAAATGCTGACAAAAAAAAATACCTGTTCATGCAGCATGTGACTTAGTCTCATTGCAATGCTTCGTAACATGTATTCAGAGTTAGGGTTAGGTATATGCATTCTGGCTTGGGTTAGCATCTCTGCCTTTCCAGTCAACTGTGCATTGATAGATTTCTGGTTTTGGCAGTTGTCAATAGCCACTTGAACTATACAATTGGTAACAACAGTAAACAGGAGTTTGGCAAGCTTCAGCACCATTAAGTAAGCAGCTCTGTAAAGGTTCAAAAAAGTGAGATGAATAATTCTGAAAAGACTTTGCTAAATAAATTTAGATATAGAACCTTATGGCAATAAAAATAACACAGAAATGTCACACTTTTGATTATAAATCTTTAGTATATTCCTCATCATGACAAAATATATCTAACCTTTTAGTTGGTATATCAGCATGTGGAAGGAAGTTGTTTTTTGTCAACATTCCCAAAACACATTTCACTCCCCCACTTTTAAAAAAATTGAATTGGAAAAGTTGTGTCTCTTCAGATAGTGTGTTATGGGCAGGCATTAACAAGGTATAAACAACCTGAAAAAAATAAAAACATTTGGGTTAACACTACGTTTATTTTTTTCAATAATAGTCACATATCAGATTGATAGAACACCTTCCTCGGAATTTACAAAATAGTTTTGCATGAAAACTTCATGAATGAAGTTTATCCAATTATACATGTTGGGGGTGGGTAGGGGGAGAAGGATGTAGGAATGTGGGGTTAGGTGTTTCTATGCAAGTGTGAGAAAGGGGAAATGAGTATAAAAAATAAAAAATTGGATGATAGAAAGAGTGAGTGTAAAGAAAAACTATCGCTTACAACAATGTAACAATGGTAAAATTGAGTTCTTTTTTTTGTCAAGGGAGAAAGTGGAAGCTTTGCAGAAATGTGTGGACTTAGTCTCTACTGAAGATTTTAAATGAAAGAAGACAACATAATAATCAATTATCTGCAGACTTTTAATGTAAATTTCTTTTTTTTCAGCATCGCCTCAGAGTTAGAAACAAAACTTAGTGTAGTATGCTAGAGATGAGTAACACTTGTATGGACATACTTTTCCAGTAAGTGATGTATGAACATCTGTAATTTAATGGAATTATCAATATTTTTGAAAATAAATTATAACTTTGTCAGAAATGTAAAACTTACAATATTAACAAATTGATTAAGAAATTCAGTTATCAAATATAAATTAATATATTTCAAAAGGTTATAATCTTGATAACTTTGTTGATCATGTTTTGTTAAGATAACAGCATTCTATTTCAACACAGATGTCTTGCAGACATTATAATAAAGCTCTGGAAAGTGTGGTTTACTAAAAAATTAACTTGTGATATCAAGTGATGAGAAGCTAGGGATGGATTTTTTAAATTAAAAACATCACAACCACTCAAAGTAGCTGATCCTGGTGACAATTAACAATCATTAATTAGTAGCATAATAAGAAGTAAACACATTCATATATTGTAATAGCTGATCATGGTGACAATTAACAATCATTAATTAGTAGCACAGTAAGAAGTAAACACATTCATATATTGTAGCTTGTTAATTTTTCAATTATACTAGTACTGTTGCTGTTTCTAAGATTACTGCTAGTTTTCAGAAATTATCTCACAAAACACAGAACAAAGTTAATATTACAGTTGTAACTATGTATTGTACAAGATATTTCAACAACTACTGAATTCACAATTCTAATGCCTTTACATTGTGTTTCCAAAACTTACACATTTAAAAAGCTTGATTAGCTGACAGACTGAAACACAAGTTACTCATTATTTTGAAAGGTATAACACTAAATAATTCATTGTTGTCATTAAAAGTATATTTTCTGAGGTACATTCTAACAAATCTGTTGAAATCTTCAAAATAGAGATGAGAGAAGTATTAGTTCTTCTACAGTGTTCAAAAACAACTTAACACCATATAACTTACCTCCAAGTAGTAAAGAACTTGAGAGGGAGAAGGATCAAAGAAAACAGATTCCAAAGTTGGTGAAAGAGACTGATCACATAGTTTAGCATTATTCAGACATATAGCTCGCAATCCTTCTGCAGTGTGTGCATCTATAAAAGTAAAAATATATCTAAGTTAAAGAGTAATAGAAAAAGTTAACTTCATCAATTCTGATAATTTTTAAAACAACTTTCAATATAATCTTTATTTTTGATATAAAACCATTAAAAATGACTGTGCAATAATACTTTGAACACAACTTATCTTCATTTGTCTCGCTCATTTGTCAAAAACATGTTCTTGTACAATAGAAATAACTAACTTTAGAAAAAAAATATGTACATTAACATGAAAAAGCTTTAATACAACAATTCACCACCATCTTCAAGACATTTCATTTATTAATTAACTTTCAATTAGAGACTTAAACAGGATCAGCATGGTGATAAATCTGGAGTATGCAACAGCGTGAAAGTTTATGAATTTACTAAATTTATACTAAAATGATAGCTGTGGATTAAAGTTTCTATTCTGTGAAGATGAATGTTAGTGACTTCTTTTTTTTCCCCCACTGTGGAATTATTCAATATTCTCTGCCTTTACTTTGACCAATATTTTCAATTTCCTGTCCAAAATTTCATTACTTTTTCTGTGATATTTCCTGCTTTAAAGTGTAAACAATTATTTAGAATATCATGGAAAAATCAAAAGACGAACCCTTGGTCTTCTATTACCTAAAATGGAAGAGGGAAAAGATGTTTTAAGTGCAATAATTCCAGTTGATACGGATGTGACCATGACAGAATATCCAGTGAAAGAAAGTTAACAAGGAAAAATGACAGAATTTAAAAGTATATTTATGAAAATTAGAAGGGGGAAAAAAAAACACTCCTTCTGTTTTAAAAACAAAAGCTGCTGTGGTCTAGGATTTTGAAGATGGTAATTCAGATTATAATTAAGCTTATTTTGAAGCTCATCCACTGTTTCTTTTACTAAAGGTTCATTTTGTATACTTTGTTTATTACTGCTCTTATTCAAATGTTTCTGGTTATTATTTGCACTGAAATATCTAAATTTCCAGCCAAGTTTACGCTAAAAATAAGTCAATCCTCATTAAAATCAAATGTAGTTTTTGAGCTGGTTTTAGACTCTTGTACCAAGTCTAAATTATACCATATTTTCATGTTATCAGATTCATTTTAAGGACTTTGGCCTGGTTAAGCCACAAATTCAGGGTTAAGAACAATTTTCAAAAACTAACACTTATACTTCCAAAGTAGTAAGTATAAGCAAATATACAAAAACATGGTTGTTCATTATCTATGATAACAAACTGCATATACAAACACCCTGCTCTAACTATCCCTGTAGTCAGTGACTAAGTAAATTAAAAACCCCAATTCTGTTGTTACAATTCAATTGAAATGTAGTGATTTGCAAGTGTAGGTAATGCCTGGGAAGTTTATATTCTAAGATTTTCTACTTAAAAGTTGTCTTATTTCTCAATTACAGAAAAATGGAAAGTGTGATCCTATCAGGGAAAAATGGGCTATTCCATGACAGTTAAAGCAGGATCCTTCCTGTAAACAAGATAATTTACATGGTTTTAGACATATATATATATATATATATAATAAAAAGCTGAGATCACAAATTTTTCTCAAAGCAGTTAGCTCAATGGAAGATCAACTGTTAACAGCAGTACTTGTGATATCATCCGTGTGATATATATATAAGAACGTCATCAGAGTGACTGAACCATATGTCTGCAATACCTGGGTAATTTATTACCATGCTGCTGATGATACAACATTACAATAAAGTTTTTCTAAGGGACTTATAATGGTTTCAGTTTACAGCTACGATCCACAGAGTTTAGAATAATGCCAAGGTGAACTAATGGACAAATGTGATAAGACCGTTATACTATAAAGAAATATTTTCATTGTACAGGTTGAATGCAGCTAAAGTACGAATCTATTAAAACAAAGCATCTAGCCACATGTCTTCAAGCCAATATTCCAGTTCCTCTGCATGATACAAGTACAAATTGGAAGTTATGCTATACTGTTCAAAGATATCTGTGTTGATTTTTTTTGGAAGTCATCATCTATAAATAGTTGAAGGACTTCAAAAAATATTTAAAGAGGTTGGGGTGAGGAGATGACCTCAATGTATTATGAAAAAGCATCCTGCAGTAAATACTGAACTGAAGAGCAATAGTGTGTAACCAAAGTTTCAAATAAAAAACACAACTAGTAGGAGGAAAAGGGAGCCATAAGGACTAGGCACTTTCTTTCAATGACTACAATATATCATGAACACCTATTTGTATATGCCAGAAAAATATTGTAAAAACAAGTTCCACTGATTAATGAGTTTTTTTTTTAATAGAAGAAGTGATAAATCTTAAAATCTAGAGAGAAAATATTTTTTGTTAGTTATCAAAATATCAAATAATAAATTTCAGCCATTAAGGTATCAGTAGTATGACCACTACTAAACACAACTATACATTTAAAATTTTTATGTTACAAAACTAACAGGGATGAATGATCAAATGAATGAATTTTACTCAGCTTTTTATTGAGATAATTCTGCTAGAATAAACAAAAGACAGATACCATACTGAACATTTCACTGGTTTATTGTGCATAACACAACAAATAAACATAAAATATCCAACCTGCAGGCATTAGCTTCAACATAGCACGAGCTCTGTCCCTCAAAGCTGGAATGTTACGAGAACTTCCAAGATCAGCCAACTGGAGCAGGAACTTTACATAATCAGGTTGTTGAGCCATCAACTATAACAAACAATGTACAAATATTTTAGGTGTATATTAAGCTACACAAAGATTTATAAATAAAAGAAAATACAAAAAAAGAACATAATTATTCATAACCTGAAAACATTAAAAGGTTTAATGATCCTTTCAATTATCTAAAACATTTTCCATAAACTTTCAATACAAATTATAATGAGTATTAGATTACATAGAGGTTGAATATGTTAAAATGATTGTGGAACCTCACCACATCATTATAACCCATGTCACCACATCCAGTCATGTTCTGATAGCCATGTATTTTGACAATGGCCTTGCAGTGTAGTTTCTATTGCATAAAGTTTCCACTATAAATGTCAAAAGCACACCATTACTCACTATATGCATTATACAAGCCTTCAAGCATACACGAATGCAAGTTTCCAAGTGCCTTTTGCAACAGTCTGATCCCACAGAAATTCATAGACATTGCATCTGGCAACTTGATCAGTATTTCTTTGGATGGAATATCATGAATATCCATTTCATTCTCCAGCTGCTTGAAGTATGTGACAGTTGAACAGATATGCCTTGGAAGCAACTATGTATACATGACTTGTGTTTTTTTCCAGGTGGGGATTCTTCATGGTAATGTTGCATACACTGTTTCCTGGGACACATGGAAGACTCTTTCCCCTGAACTCTGTGTATGTGGATTCTCATCTGTTACAAGATGCCACATCTTGTTTATCACAATTGGAGTATAATAACTTGTTACAGGCTTCTATGCATGCATACCTATAAACAAGTATAAGTTACAAAGATACAATACGTTTAAAGAATCAAATGTAAAGATGAACCCAAAAGACAATTCACATAATAAAATCCATGTTAATTTGTAATATATGTTTCAATGTAACTGACAAATTAGCATGGATTTTATTATGTGCATTGGACATCACTATATGTCCCCTAAAAATCAGCTAAGAAGCTTAAAACCATCAGTAAACTTGTTAAAAAAACAACAAAAAAACACAGGAATATACAGCTATTTAAGTAAAAATATAGAAAATTTAAAATTTTAGAGAAATCATGGCAATATAGAAAAATTCTTCAATTTCAACATAATCATTTGGGTATTTGAAGCTCAAACACTGGATAGCCACTTGTCTGACTGAAATACCTAAGTAATTAAAAGGACAATACGTGTCAATCATTCCAGGCGTCAATCATTCTAGGTTACCTGGAAACACAATATTCCTATTGGCTAAACTATGAAGTTTATAACACCAACTTTAAAGACAATTACTTCAGTGACATAAACAAACATGTAAGGAAACACATTAAGTTAATTTTTTTACCTTCCCGTGGCTTCTAAATAATGCAATACCATTACATCTCAATACAAATTCCAACAGTCACCTAAAAATCAACAATTAGGCTTAAAGTTTAAATACACTTTGTGTATGAAGCATGAGTTTACCCATTATATAATCTACAGCAATTAGCCTTAATAGCCATTGCCACAACTTCATTAATTTTTTAATCTCCACAGTTAACATACTGCATGAAAAAAGATAATTACATATTTCAGATGATATACAAATGTGAATTAGACATATAAACACAAGAAATTTCTAAAAAAAACAACAACAAAAATGATGACAGTTGATTTCTACACTTCTTGATACTATAATCAAGAAAAATCTCAAGATGTTAGCCAAAGATCCAGAATTGTTTGTTTTTTGAATTTT